CCTCTTCCCTTTCTTTTTATTAGCATACTGAGTTTTGAAACTTCTAGGGCAGTATAAACAGTAAAGGAACTGAAAAAAAAAATCACCTCCACATAGCTTTGGCATTTGACGTAAGAACCTACAAACAAAACCCTTGAAAGCCACAGACTCTTCATGATTGTCAAAGAGGTAAATCATTCCTAAATGTATTTTTTAAGTGCCTGGATAGACACTGGAAAAGTTAGGTCTGGGTGGCCTTGTAGAAAATGCTTTAAACTACACATTTTAGTGGCTGGCTGCTTATTCAGTCCTCCAGAGAAGGCCATGTATTCAGTGTTTGCTTACACAAATGATCTCAATGAGGACAAATTAGAAAATGAGAAAAAGTGTGAAATCCAGAAGCAAAGGGGGGGGGATACATTAGAAGTACAGCCCCAGAGAGCCTCAGGTTAATAGCAACCAATAGTATTTATAAACCGGTATTAGTCCAAAGCGCATGCTACAAACAAGGCAGGGAATGCAATTTTGATTGCTTTGCGTGGTTCAGGATTGCGCTGTTGATGAATTATTACCTTGTTTTAATATTTAAAGTATCTTTATGTGTTCTCCATCTTCCATTGGATATTCTCAAACTCTACAATTTTTTTTTTTTTTTTAATGACTTAACCTTAGCTAGTCTAGGTGAACTTTAAAGGTACTTTCTGAAAACTGTGACTAGAGAATTTGTGCTTGGAAGAATTGTTATCTCTTTTGCTTGGTCTTTCACTGTGATTAATTGCCAGTCAATTGTCTTCCGTGGCCGCTGTGCTGTGGCAGCCACCACCAATGCTGTCAGTCTTGTATTTCCTCTCCCTAGCAGACACTGCTCAAATGTTGCTAGATTCTAGGTGGGTCTGACCTTTTATGGAGCACCATTACCTTCTGTCAGGCTTTTATGGACTAGTTGATTTCTGCACATTTGCAGGTGTTCTGACCCTGTGATGTTCAGAACAGATTCTATGAGAATAGCTATGTCTGACCTCTCAAAGATGTCAGACACCCCAATTTCCCCCAAGTTACGGATGTATATAATGTTCCTTGTGGTTTGAGCTTCTGTTCTTCTCAGAAAAGAGGAACCAGCCTCGAAGCCAGATCAGAACTGCTAACATAACAGGGCTGCTGGCAGCTCTTCAAGTTGCTTTGCATAATTTGGATCATGAGCAGTGTTTTCACAACACCTTTCCCTCTTTGTTGTGGTTTAAATAAGCAGTGCCAAATGTTTGAGTTACACTGTGTGCTATAACCAAATCTGCAGAAAGGGCGACGGCTAATAAAAACTCTGGGAAACTTTGAAGTCATTTTTTTCGTTGTTCAAATTCCTTTTTACATCTGGTCTTTTCTCTTTCTGAGTCCTGAATCCTATTGTTAGTTCAATTTAGGTGCATAAAATATCATAAAACTCCATATTGCGGCATTTTCAGGGCTTCTTGTTTACATTTTCTGTGAAGATATGACATACCAATAGTAAATCTGTCTTTCATAAAGAGTCAACTGTAATACACTTACGTCTACAATAAAAGATTTCAGATTTCCCCCCAAATAATCTAGTTTCTACAAAAGGAATCCTTAAGTTTGTTTTTGAAAGTTTTAATCATCAAATGAAAATGATTATTATCCTGCTTTTTCCCTTCAACACCCATCTATAATCTGTCCCAGGTCTGAGTTTCTCTCTTAAGGACACACTGTGCCAGGATAAGCTGGGTCAACAAGGCCCATCCCTTTCTTTGTTCCTCTTGACATGTACCTGGTGGTTCTTTTCCACAATATCTTTTTCTCCACAAAACAAAACACTTTTCTCATCTTAGCCAAAAATCTACTTTCACCCTTTCTTTTAGTGACTGATAACTTCACCAAAACCCAATTCTTCCTCCATCACTAAATATGAAAGCATGATTTTTCCATCCACTTAAGTTTACTTTCAGGTTGTTTGCGATACTCAGGTCCCTTCCTTGCAGACAGCATCTAATGGAATATATTTGCACTACGGAAGTATATCCAAAGTCACATATTCAGAGCTTTCATGGCGTAACATTTCCACACTTCAGAAATGTAAGAAACAGTGATAAGACTGAAAAGATATGAATTATACTTTTGTGTATACTTTGTGAAAATTCAAAACCAATGATAATTGTGTATAGCACTTCTCATTGTCACCAATAATTCCTGTAGGACATAAAGAGAAGAGCGTGCAGTAATAAGTCCTGAAACCAGGCCAAACCAAGAACAGGACATTCTAAAGTGAGCCCTGAAGTTGATGTGAATGCTAGCAGTCCTGTAGACTACTTATGGATAATCATATAACTTCCAACGGTGTTAGAGTTTGGGGTGTAGGTTTCTTTGGGGACTATCATAATCTGTGGGGGAAAGGTGGAAATTCTTAACATACAGCAAAACATCAACTCAGTCTCAATCAAGTGAGAACACACATCATATAATAGTTCAACATTGTTGTTTGTTTGTTTTTGAGACGGTGTTTCTCTGTGTAGCCCTGGCTGTTCTGGAACTGGCTCTGTAGTCCTGGTTCTGTAGACCAGGCTGGCCTTGAACTGAGAAATCCCTAGTGCTGGGAATAAAGGCATGTGATATCACTTCCCAGTTCAACATTCTTATAGCTAGACTTATCTCTGATAATACTGATTAAAGTAAATTGTTACACATAGAAATCTTACCATTATCACTATATTTTAAAAATGGGCACATAAATATTGGCATTATGGAAATCAAATCTATTTATAGTGATTGCTTTTGTTTTAAGTCAATTTCTTATAAATTATGAATTGATAAAACCTATCATATTAATTGTTATTATGCTAACATTTACATTTGAATAATGATTATGTGATAGTCATATCTCAAAAGTTAACTTTATAGTTAGTCCATAGGTATCATTTAGGATTTATTCATGTTTTAGTTATTAATGATATAATGTGGTTAGAGATTTCAGTAACTAGTAACATAGACATTTAGCACACAACTTTACAATGTATATTTTCTTGTGCAGAAAATGAATACGTGTAAAATAGAAGGATCTCTTCCTATAGCATTGACTCCTAACACATAGTTTTAAACCAACCTGTTTGATTTGAACTGGGTAAATCAAGTTTCAAATATTGTTCTATTTTCTCCATGAAAGCATCCTTGAATATAATTTTTTAAGCCTGCCAATTAATTTCTTGGAAGAAGAAGGTTATGCATATTAGAAAGAGCACTTTCTATTTTTTTTTCTTTATGGAACTCTCTTGTAAAGTAAAATGGCACTATCATTAGCATATAATTACTTCATAATTACAGTTAAGGGAAATGCTGCATACTCTTGATATCTTTACATAGTAGATTGTGAGGTATATACAACCTATATAGAGAGCCAGATAAAGCTTAAATAGGTATGTTATCTTTTGTATCTCTTCTCATTAAAATTATTGTTTTTTTTTTGTTGTTGTTGTTTTCTGGACTGAATTTTATACAATAGAGTTGTATCAGATAGAAAAGAAAACTGAAAAAAAGATAACAAGGGAAGTGTTGCCTTTTGGCTGAGAAATCAAGAGGGAGGCTGCTCTCCGGGTAGTCAGACCATGTCAACCCCCTGGTACACCCATGCAGCATGGCATCTGAGCATGGGGACGCATGCAATTCTCCTTTCCCGAAGAAAGGATAAATCTGAGAACGCTGCAGCTGATACTTTAGGACACCAATATCAGACTGAAGAATCTAGGATTCAAATATTCATGTAGACATTCCATTGCAATTAACGTGCAATTAATGTAGATCATTCCCAAAAGCTGCTACCAAGATATATCCTCAGGGAAAGCAGAGACCCTAGTGATAATGGGGAAGGTGACGGTGGCACTCTGTGGAGCAGCTAAAATGCTGCCTCAGCTCATTCCTTTCCAAAAGTGTGCTCGGTTTGGGGAAAGCTAGATAATGGAGCATGGGTATGTCTTGAGCCAGCTTGGATGTTCAGCCTTCCCCTGCCAGGGGTTATGCTTCTGTTTCCACTTTTTTTTTTTTTCCATGCCTAGGAGTTTGGAGCCTCTCCCATTTGACAACCCATAGCTGAGGTAGAGCCATCCCCCATGTCCCTTTAGACATTTCCCTTCAATTTAGTCACTTTCCTTCAAATTCTCATCTAATGAGAGTAAGTCTACCTTTGCCAGCCTATCCGGGGCCACAAACCAGCAACCATCGCTCCCGGAGGAAGTCAATTCCCTGTTGTAGCCATCTCCAGGACTATGCTCCCCTGGCAGATGCACCTCATGCATTTTCCTCCCTGTTCTTATAGGAACTGGGTGGGATTCAGGACAGACCTGGGGCTGCTGGGGACCCAGTGTCTAGGGGCTTTCTTTTCCCTGCAAGGAGGCCAAACCAAATTTGTCTTGAACATAGGAGGGCGGGGTCCTTCCAAAAGCTTATCCGAGGCTTTGTAGGAATCTGAGAGTAGGAATTCCTGGTTTGGACAAAATAGTGTCTCTACAGAGCCTGATCCTGGTGCTGCCCTGAAGGGCGCTGTTGACCCTTCGCAGAGCCAGTGAATAGCACAGTCCATGATAAAGTGAAGCTGTTTTCTCCGGGACCCCCCTTTCTCTTCCCGGTTCCCTATTTATCAAGTACAGGGGAAGGGCAAATTCTTCTTTCAACGTGAAATTTCAAAGTGGTGAGTGCTATCAGCGTGGGTCTGCAGACAGATTCTCAGCACACAGGCTCTCGGATTCACTCTTTCATTAAACCCCATGGAGGAACGGCACACAGAAAATTTAAGAATTCTCCTGCTAATCTCATTCTTCCAAGCGATTAAGCTTTTTATTAGGATTCGAAGATCTTTTTCCTTGTCCCAAACTCCTAGAATCGGCTGGTCGGTGTACCAACGACTCCCTGCGCCTTTAAAAAGCAGCAGCCGCCTTCAGGAACTTCAGCTATGCCAAGACGTGCTTGAGCCTACAGCTTAATTCATAGGACCTAGCAGTAACTTGACATCACCTCCGCAGCCCACCCGAAAACTCCAGCCCTAGGAGACCGTTTTGCAGGTTCTGATATAGAAAAGTTAAGGCAGATTGCCTTTGCCCCATCACGGTGGATTCCCATCTTGCCAACTCACTCCCCGGTCCGGGCAGGTAATTTTTGACTCCTCCCCCACCCCCGCCTCTTTGACCCTCTGAGGTACCCCACCCCCACCCCCTTCACTGTAAACCTCCTGGGGCTAAGGTAATATAACGCAGAGGCTCTAAATTCAGAGCCGAGTCTTAGTCGGCGGAAGGGGAAAAGTGTCCCGGCTTTCTGAAAGAACCATCAGATGGATTGGATGAATTCAGTCAGCTAAACGGCGCTGATTCACTCCTGGGTTCTCGGAGAGCTGGGGCTGCGAGGTGGGTGCGATCTGCAAGCTTTGTGGGCAGATGAGGGAGTTTACAGCCCAGCTACAACTACGGAGCCCACAGAGCTCCTTTGCCACGCAGGCTCCCTCTCCAACCGCAGACTAAGAAGGATACACTTTGTGAAGTTTTGTCCAATGTATGGTTCTGGGCTGATTGGGGCCAAGCCTCTCAGTGAATTGTGAGCGGTGCTTCCAAGCTAGGGTTCCAGTCAGAAGTCAAGATTTGTCTTGATCAATCAATAGTTAGGAGGAGGAGGGGAGAATTTCATTTGAAAAGCGTTGCTCCCGGAGAAAACAGTAAATACCTCCAGAGGTACCCTTTGTAAAGAAACGTGACAAATACATCTCTGCCCTCATTTGACCCGGCTCCTCACAACAACCAGCTTCGGATCCTCCGTCTCGGGACTGACCTGAGGTTTGCGGCTTCGTCAATGCCGGGAAGGTGCCATTCTATCTCGGCTGAGAATCGAGCAGCAGACCGCACAAGATCGCTGCCTTTGGAGCTGGCGTCTGCCGGCGGAGAATCCGGGGGGGGAAAAAAGGACCGCAGATGACAGAAACGACCACCTGAACTCAGAAATGACGGCTAGGAGCCTTTGGCCAGAGAAGAAACCACTGGCTAACTCACCAGGATTGTTTTAACAGGTTAATAAAGTAATTGGCACTCAACACAACTACATTCTCAGTAGGAGTCCTAGGCGATAAGATAGGAATCACAGAGGTTTGTTTTTGTTAACAGCTACCTTTATTATCGTTCCTTTTTTCCCGCCTAAACAAAATAATAAAAACAGAGGAATAAAAGAGTAATAATTTCCGACTCCGTGCTCTCTCTCTCTCTCTCTCTCTCTCTGTGTGTGTGTGTGTGTGTCTGTCTCTCTCTCCCTCTCTCTCTTTCTGCCTGTGAAATCAGAGAAGTCTCTGCCAGATCCCCAACAAGCCACAGGCAACTGGAAGAGAAATAAATTAGCTCTAAACATCCACATCCTGCTCCCCATGGAACGTAAGTGCTAATCCTGGCTCCTTTTAAGAACATATTGTTTTGTCTGATCTTTGGACATGATTAAAGATGCCAATGGCTCAGGTAGCTTTATTCTACAAGATTACAGAATACTCAGAAAAAGTAAAAAAAAAAAAAAAAAAAAAAATGGGGTGCATTCATCCTATGTATTTTTCAGAGCTGAATAAAGCTGTCCATGTTTCATTCTGACCCCTAAATTTTGTGTTTGCGGATGTGAGGGAGTATATCCTTTGGTTCACTTTTCCTAGCTGAATACAGTACTCACTAAACGTGGCAGCCTGGCTGTCCTACTAGCTTCAACCAAGTTCCAGTTCCTGGGAATAAATAAGTGAACATATTCACAGAGTAAAGAAAGTTGAACAAAGAAAGTCTCCTCCCCCCCCCCCCAGTATAATATTGCTTAGGTGGAAAAACACAGCTTTTCTCATTACACAGATTTCTCAAAGAAACACTTAGGATTCTCTTCTATCTGCTAGACATGAGAGAGTAAGTAAGTTCTAAATGTGAATTTACTTACCAGTTGCAATTAGAACATAATAGGTTTTTTTTTAATAGTATGATTTCATGGGGTTTCAGATATAATGTGGAATGTTTCCATTTTAATTAAAGCAGAAAAAGAAAGCAGTAGCGAAGACCGTCTTAAATGGAGCTTGGGTGTAACAACTACATTTCAGGAAGTGTGGTCCAGGGTATGTGGGCAGATATGGCAGAGCTAAGAGGAACTTATTAAATCTTAATATCTCTATTGTATGAAGACACTGGACTCTTATATGGGGGAGGGAGGATGAAGACATCATTTCTGCATTTCACTCGCTACTTCATTTTAAAATGAAGGAGCTCAAACTACAGATTCACACCCCTGCTGTTTTGAAGGATGTATATTTGACCTAGCAACATACAAAGGTCAAAAGGAGTCCAGTTTTGACAGGAGAGCGTCTAATCCCCTATTGAACACAAGAGGTCGCTCCTGCGATCAAGTGCTCAGGAAAAAAAAAAAATATTGCTAATGACTTTTATGTAATCAGTTTTATGTATTCTATAAAAACACTGACAACTTTACAGATATGCTTGATGCGTTAAACACACACACAGCAATCAACTAAGGGAGGGGGGAAAGCTGCGGTCCTATGAGAACATCTAGGTGAAGGGGAACAATGTTGCCTGCTTCGGGAACTTCGATTTTTATGCAAATTGTATAATCACACAGATGCCCTTATCTACAGAGCACATCCACCAGGGACCTTATTATTACTGAGTTTCCTCAAGTGTCTCCCTTTGAGTGGAGTATCTTATGCATGGCTCCTGTCTTTGATCAGTCTAAGAACTAAGAAAATGCTTGTTTATATAACTGAACTAAAAAAAAAAAAAAAAAAAAAAAAAAAAAACAAGAAAAACATGTCCTGAGCTCTGTGTGCAGAACTGTTCACAGTGAAAGCTTGCTCCCAAACTGTATGCCAGATTTTCTACTTGGGATCGCCATCACCGAGGATTCTTTGTAATGATGTACTGTTTGGGAGAATTAAAACGCCCCGGTTTGTGTGAATGCAGTGTGAGTTCGGAAGGATGAATAGCGACTGTCCTTTGTGGGTCTCAAGTCATTCGATTCTGATGCTTCTTTTTAGATGCCATGTTGGAAACGCAGCTTGAGGAAATATAAGTAGTGCAGATCCTCTATCTTTGGTTTGAAACTAGGGTCGGCTTGCTCATATAGAAGGGTAGCATGCCCTTGTGCTCAGAGTTATTGGCACTGGCTCTGCAAAGGCTGCTTGACAAAAGACTCCATGCACAAGGATACCAGAGACCAGAAAAGGGAGTTGAAAGGAAACAAACAAGACTGGTAAACTTAAACTAAGTCGACACAACTTCCCATCCTGCTCATGCACTTTGAAATAATTATAATTTAAAAGAAAAAGCGTAAGGGAAGAGATCCCATCTGCCATCTTCTGAAAGAAAACAAAAGCAAAACAAGACAAAACGGAGTTCTCCGTAAAACTCCTACAGGGTAAGGGGCGGGGAACCCCACTCTTGCTTCTTAACCTCTCCCTGTGTGTGTATACTCTGAAAAGTCACAAGTCTTCTAACTCAGCTAGAGAGGCCTGGGTAGGGTCCACAGGTTTTATCAAGGGTTAGATCTGTAGAAAGATACGAAGAAAGGAGTTTCCTAACCCCTGGGTCTTCTAGGAGCAGCAAGAAACCAAATGAAGCCTTCTAGGTTTGTTTGTGCGCGCTCTCTCTCATAAAACCGTCTCCTTAGATAAGAAATGAGTGGTGCAGAAACTCGGGGAGAAGGGTGGGAGTCCGAATAACTGCCTTTGAAGGACTGTATGAGAGTTTGGGAATCACGAAAGGAATTATTGGCAAAAGTTACCATTAAGGTGCAGCCAACATCTTTTCCAGATGGCTTCCCCAGAGGAAACAAATTAGAAAGCTAACCTCATTGAAGGGGAGTAGGCACCCCACTCTTCTTTGGCAACAGACCCTCCCTGCTCACGTGTTCATATCATTTTTAAATCTCTAGAAAGTCATGTCAAGCTGCGCTTATAATTACCAAAACGTCAAAGGGCGGGGTGCACCTTTGCTTTTAAAAAGAGTGGACAAGAGACCGACAGGGAGACGTAGGCCGTGCTGTAAACTTCAGGGTACAGCACTCCTGACTCTAGGTTAGTACAGACTTTCATGCTAGAGTTAAACTGACTAGCAGACTTCACGGGTCGGGAGGAAAGGAGCCCACCGGGGAGTTAACTTCGTTTTACCTGTGCGTTTCCAAACTGATCGTCCGCTAGGGCGAGAAGCGCCTCTTTCCTCCCACCCCAAGTCTTTGGAGGGCTGACAATGGAGAGTGACGGGGTCAACAGGGTAGCAGTTGGAAAAAAAAAAAAAAAGAAAGATAAGAAAAGGGAAAAAATAGGAGGAGAAGAAGAAAGAAAGAGAGAGACCGTTTCCTCTGGGTCTAACCCACTCCGGTTTGGTCCCCTAGCGCGCCGTGGGTCGCCAGCTCCGGGAGACGCACCCTTCCCGCAGGCAGCGAAGCCGGCCGAGCCCAGGGCACTGCGCACCAGCGTGGGAGCCAATGGAGCAAAGCGGCCGGCTCCAGGTTTCCCCCCTTTTCCTAGCGCCCGGGAGGGACCGGGATCCCGGGAAGGACCTACCCACTAGCCGCTCGCCACCGGCGGCAGAAAAGGGCGCCCCGCGCTCAGAGCAGCCAGAGGACCCCAGGGACCTGGGAAGCGTGAGACGCTGGAGCAGCGCGGGCCGGGAGGGCGCGGGGAAGGGGTGCGGGGCCGGCGGCGCCGGGATCGCGCTGCAGCCTCGGGAGGCCTAATCCTCTCCCGCGGGCTCGCGGAGCGGGCAGTGGCGCGCGGCGGCGCCGGGGCTGAAATATGATAATCAGAACAGCTGCGCCGCGCGCCCCGCAGCCAATGGGCGCGGCGCTCGCCTGACGTCCCCGCGCGCTGCGTCAGACCAATGGCGATGGAGCTGAGTTGGAGCTGAGAAGTTTGAGTAAGAGATAAGGAAGAGAGGTGCCCGGAGCCGCGCGAGTCCGCCGCTGCCGCAGCGCCTCCGCTCCGCCAACTCCGCCGGCTTCCAGCGGACTCCCGGATCCGAGAGGGCGCGGTGCAGCCGGGCAGCGGCCCCCACAGCCTTGGCAACCCCGGGGGCCACTGTTTCCCACCTGGCCACAGCACCAGCATCCTCTCTGCGGGCTCTTCACCAACTGTCCAACCACCATTTCACTGTGGACGTTACTCCCTCTTACAGATATGGGAGATATGGGCGATCCACCAAAAAGTAAGAAGCTGTTTGAGCCTTGTGGGGCGCGGGGTGCTGTTGCTGTGTGTGGCGGTTGGTCTCAAGCGCCGGTGCCCGGGTGCTTCGGGTTTGTAGTCATTGCCCGGAGAGGCAGAAGAAAGAATCGATCTCTCTTTTGTGTTTGTTTGTTTGTTTGTTTTTGTTTTGTTTTCTGTGCCCTTTCCCCCATTCCTGTCGCCGCGCTTGCATGTTTGGCGTGGATTCTGGTCTTCGGGAAACTGATCATACCTTCGTTTGAATCTGTGACCTCCCAAAACTCTAGTCGCCTGGTGCTTTGGGGTGATTTCCTCTTTCAGAATCCGGAGTTCCTGGAGAAGGTTATTATGTAGCATAGGTCTGCCTGAACAAACCACACCAGCAGATACGAGTTAGCATTAGACTTGCAAAAGAGAGCGAGTGACAACTGTATTGATGTCTACTCTTCCAACAATATCCACTCCCGTGTGCTCCTGAAGAACGTGCTTCACGGAAAATACAGACATCCCAGCGTTGGCTTAACGCTTCTAGTCAAAACCTTTTCTTTGACTTGACTTATCCATAATCTTGCCTAATGATTACAGCAAAGAGGGAGGAGGGGAGAAAACACGAAATGAGCGGGTTTGATTGTGTGCTAGGCTTACAAATGTAGACAATTTGAATCTGCGTTTTACATATATTCCACTTTCCTTTAAAAAAAAAGAGAGAGAGAGAGAGAGAGAGAGAGAGAGTCAAGGTTTTGATGGCACACTCCAAGTACCATCCCAAAGTGTAATACTATTTAAGAAAAAAAAAGGGGGGGGGAGAAAAATTCTTCCAGAGTACACCCTATAAGAGAACGACACTAAAAGTGTGTTTATCTCTGTAGGAAGTAAACGGTTAGTCAATCATGTATTTATTTTCATTTCAGAAAAACGTCTGATTTCCCTATGTGTTGGTTGCGGCAATCAGATTCACGACCAGTATATTCTGAGGGTTTCTCCGGATTTGGAATGGCATGCGGCATGTTTGAAATGTGCGGAGTGTAATCAGTATTTGGACGAAAGCTGTACGTGCTTTGTTAGGGATGGGAAAACCTATTGTAAAAGAGACTATATCAGGTATGCCGTCTCCATGTCGTTATTTTCTGAGATTAACTGGTCTCTCCTTGTTTATTATTTGATGTGGCTTCCCCCCCCCACGTTTGCTTTAGAGGGACCAGTGTGCAAAAGTGTTTTAAAAATTATACTGTTGTTCATTTCATGTCTCTGGGGGGTGGGGAGGTATCACTGTGTCTGTCATAAATTTCTGTTGATAAGGTGTGTTAATGACTCTTGGAATTTTTGTTGCTAAAATTATTTTCGTCTTTCACGTTTCCCTCTTCAGAACACCAACAAAATTAAGTCAAATGAGTTTAGGTTTTTAAACATTCTATTTCCACTATATAGTTTAGCATACTATTTATTTTTTTCTTCTGTTTTATCACTGACTTAAAACAAATTTTGGAGGTACCAACTAAACAGATAAAAGTTTCACCAAAGGATTTTTGAAAAACAAGCCCAACCATTGCTCCCTTTACTTTTTGGGTGAGTCTTCCTTGGTACAACATTTCAAAACCAACTAAAATAGTCCCTAGCCTCCCCCCCCCCCCAAAAAAAAAAGGACTGGAAATTTAATCTTTTTAAATATTAACCCTTTGGTGATATCTAACTGTCTTTTCTTTCTTATCTTATCTGGGCTGATGAATTAGACAGAGCAGATCAAATTGCCCATCATCTGTCTGTGAACAATTGGTATATTTAGGTAATTGGACAGCTTCCTTTCTCACGTTAAAATCTAGTAACTGATAAAATGAGGGAACCACCCGACGGAGAAGACCAAACCCACAGAGGAGCTGAGCTTGCCTTTGTTGCAGGGTTTTGCTATTTTCAAGTTTTCTCTGTCCTGTGTATCTACATCAGGAACTTCACATTTTGCCTTTAAAAGCCTGGCAGAATTTCTAAAAGAAAATGTGTTCGTTCTAGATACCCTTTGCCTTCACTGTTAGGTTAGTGATAGCAGAAATATAGCTGATTTTAAATTCGGAAGTGGCTACTTGCAAGTGACTGGCTTTTGTAAGCTATAAAGGGCTTTGGCGCTTGAGAACTTTCATTGAAGTTTAGTTAAGATTTAAAATAGGGTCATGGGTTGGTTTTTCTGCTGCTAGAATAATGGCCAGTTGTGTTTTTTTTTTATTAAATCATAGAGTGAAGTGGACACTATTCTCATGATAGATAAAATTAAACAATGTATGAGGGAGGGTTTTGTTTGTTTGTTTGTTTTATTTTAACGCTTTGAGGATTGCGGGAGGAAGTGGGATTCAGGAAAGGTGAGGAATTCTGTAAATGGTTTGGGGACAAGGGGGCTAAGAAAATCTTCATCCTATGAAATGGATGGTCTTGCATTGGAGAGGCAGAAGGTAGAAAAAAATTCAAATGCGCCTTCTAACCTCTGACAAATGTGACATTTTCATTGTTTCCTTGGCTCCTGTGTACCTTCAGGATTCTGAAAGAGGGTGAGCCAGTACGAAAATCCAGAAGTGGCTTTACTCTTTGGAAGATGCTATTTTGCTCAGTTGTAGACAGACCTGCCTCATTCTGGATAAGTGTATTTGCAGATGAAGGAACTCAATTGCTTTTACTTTTTTACACTTTGTGTCCTCTCTCTCTCTCTCTCTCTCTCTCTCTCTCTCTCTCCTTTCCTCTCCTCTCCTGTGCTTGTATGTGTGTGTTTGCTTATGCAAACATTCATGCACTGCCCCTTTGGAGGTTCTATGGTTGTAAAAACAGGGCAGAGTGACCATTTTGATTTTAAGATCTCCCCTTGTGGGAGCAATATGCTCCCTCCTTTGTGTGGGTCCTGTCTGAACCAGGCAATGTAACAGTAAATGGAAACTATAGGGACTGCACTATAGTAAGGAAACACTCTCGGTGAGGAAGCTCTCAGAAGTGAGGTTTGCTTTTTGTTTCTTTTCTTTCTTCTTCTTCTTCTTCTTCTTCTTCTTCTTCTTCTTCTTCTTCTTCTTCTTTTTTTTTTTTTTTTTTTATTTGTCATGCTAGCCTTGATCCTCAGGCCAACTGATACAGAGGTAGATGCTTCAATAACAGAAGCTGCGTTTTAAAATAAAAGAGGATGAATGGAGGGGGAACTTTCCATTAACATGTGGGCCCGTGGAAAAATCTTGAGTTGGAATAAATACTGGAAGGCCTGTGCTGTAGGGAGCCTGGAAGTCCTCTGAAGGTTCATTTTGTTATTCTGTTCTGTAATTGTCTGTGTTCGCAGATGGAGTAGGGTGACAGTCCCCTGTCCAACCTTTGTTGTTGTTGCGATTTCAGAAATATTTTTAGTAGCAGAAATTGAGAGATAGAGAATGGAAAGCATGGGGCTACTGGCCACCAAAAAGGCCCCCGAATTTCTTCCTGCTAGAATTTGCATGAATAACCCTGAGACTGGCTACCAAAGGCTGCCTCCAGGTTGAGAGTCCACCAATAAATTTTCCTTGGTTTGGGCTGGGTGCCTGAACTAAAAGGTAGGGACTGAGACGGACACAGATTTTCCCCGTAAAGGTCGCTCTTGTTAAAGGGGAGGTTAAAGAAGGGGAGAAGGAAGAAAAGAGGGAGGGAGAAAGAGAAGAGTGAAGAGAGGAGGTTGTTTTTATACTCTGCCCAACTTTACTACTGATTTTTTTTTTCCCACCAACCCCCGCAGGCAGGTCAGGGTTTATGGTCTGGGTTGCTAGCCATCTTGGGCCAGAACGTGCCCCAAGTCACCCTCATTTTTTTGTGCTTCTCTTCCCATCCCGGGGCCGGTTTATGCAGGTTGTACGGGATCAAATGCGCCAAGTGCAGCATAGGCTTCAGCAAGAACGACTTCGTGATGCGTGCCCGTTCTAAGGTGTACCACATCGAGTGTTTCCGCTGTGTAGCCTGCAGCCGACAGCTCATCCCGGGAGACGAATTCGCGCTGCGGGAGGATGGGCTTTTCTGCCGCGCGGACCACGACGTGGTAGAGAGAGCGAGCTTGGGAGCTGGAGATCCTCTCAGTCCCCTGCATCCAGCGCGGCCTCTGCAAATGGCAGGTACTTCTCTACCCGGAGGGAAGCCTGGCTGGGAAAAGGTCGGCGGGGCAACCTGGGGGGGGGGGGGGACGACACAGGGTGGCTCTGCCCTAAACAACGTGCGCGCTCTTTGCCTTTCTAGCAAATTTCCACAACTCCTCTGTCTTAACTGCACAAGCACACAGCTACATGTCTGTCTATATATGGGTACACAGCCTACTCCACTGTGCACACATGTACACACAAGCCCAAACTGTACTGTCAGCTTTACTTTGGCCTCCAACCCATAGCTTACTGAAAATGGGCTTCAGCTCTCTGCCAGGTTTTCTCCTAGCTGCTGCCTAATTAAAGGGGTGGAGCCCTGGGTCTCCAGGAGTTTCCTCCCTCCCCCGGTGAAGGAAGCTTAAGCCGCCCCAAGGCATTGAGCTTCCCACATCTTTTTTTTTTTTCTTTTTCTTTTTCTTGAGAATACTCTCCAAACCAAAGGGTTTTTAAATTTTCTTTCTATGCTCTTGTCAGAAAACAGGTCCCTAAAAGATACAGTGTCAGAAACTGCAGGCTCTGCCACCAGCTGTAACTTAAAACTGTCAACAGCCTAATCTGCAGTAATTGCCTTTTTAAAAGGAGCCTGCCTCTTTTGGCCACTCAGTCTACGTGATTTGGTGAGAATTTCATCTCCAAGCCTGTAGCTGTAGCTCTAAATTGACCCCATAGGTGTTTGGCCTGACCCCAGGGGGTCGTGGAAGGTGTAGGATTTGTACCATGCAGATCAGAGGACCAGTTGCCCATAAAGGAAAGTGGAAACATGAAGGTTGGCTAGAACCAAGGCCGGGAGACAGCAGGACATTGTTTCCTACCTGCCTTCCAGTCAGAAGCAGGTCTCCCTCTCTCCCGCTCAGTATTAAGTCATCAGCCCCTACTAAAAGCCGGAGGTGAGGAAGTGAGAGTTTTCCCAGCACCCCCCCCCCCATTCACCCCTTTCTGGCTGCTCTGAGAATTCTGTCCTGAATGATTTCTGACTAGAAGGCACGGAGACACGGAAATATTAGGAGGAAAGGGAAGGGCATTCTCTAGCACTCTCTTCTCTTAAGCCTAGACAGTTCAACAGAGTTTCAGTTTTTCTTTGCTTGGAATCAGCAGGTTTCAGGAACATCCCATGGTTTTGTTGTTTTGTTTTGGTTTTGGGTTAGTACTAAGAAAGACTGCAGACCATTCCGGTAGCTGGAATACAGCATTTCTTTACTTCTAAATATGACCGTCCCCTGTAATTGAAGTTTAGGGCTTTCTGGCAGAATTCTCTGACTTTCGGTGGCAGACTTCCAGGCCCTGTAGTGTCACTGGGGTGCACTGCGTTTTATTTTCAGGTACCCTTTATGGCGTTTACCAAAAAGGGAAAGCCCAACCGGGAGGTGGGGATATTCGGTATAATGTGTCCTTCTTCTGGTTATGAGGAAAGATGAGGAGGGAGGGAACGAACATACTAGTGAAAAATGTCTCAGATGCAGCGGAGACGCACCACCGGGAGACAGGCTTCCCTTGGGTAATTCTGTAGTAGACACACTTAGGGGCCGCATCTGTCCCCTCCCCCATTACTCGGCATTGTCCTCCGCTATTAAGGGGTGAAACATCTTTTCCCTCGCCGTCCTCCCTCCAAGGTTTCTGCATGGCTTGCTGGGCTCGGGCTGGGTAGAGGGTGGAGCAGGGCTGGTGGCAGGGAGAGTGTCCTTGCGTGCTCACGTGCCCCTCTGCCCCGTAGCCGAGCCCATCTCCGCTAGGCAGCCAGCCCTGCGGCCTCACGTCCACAAGCAGCCGGAGAAGACCACCCGAGTGCGGACTGTGCTCAACGAGAAGCAGCTGCACACCTTGCGGACCTGCTACGCCGCCAACCCTCGGCCGGACGCGCTCATGAAGGAGCAACTAGTGGAGATGACTGGCCTCAGCCCCCGAGTCATCCGAGTCTGGTTTCAAAACAAGCGGTGCAAGGACAAGAAACGCAGCATCATGATGAAGCAGCTCCAGCAGCAGCAACCCAACGACAAAACTGTGAGTAGCTCCGGGGCCAAGGAAGGAAGGGATGGTGGGGAAACTCGGAAGACCGGGCCAGAGGGGCGCCTATGAGGTGGTGGATTGGTCCCTTGCAGAGCACCAGCAGGAGCTCTTGTCTGGTTAGGAACTGCGGGGTTCGGGAGTTGGGAGCAGCAGCGGGGGGGGGGGGGGGGGCATCCCTTGCTGGTTCCGAAAGGGGATCAATGGTCTTCACCACCAATTGCACCTGGAACCCAAAAGGCTAGGGCCCTCCCAGGGCAGGTGCTTGCTCAGGTTTTGCAAGCACTGGGGTCATTAGAGTTGTCCAAATTGTGAAGGACCGTACCTTGAGTGCTGGTCCAGAACAATGCGTTTACCATCCAGCCAGCCTTCTGGCCCCACCCCATAACTTGGAGAGGCCTGCCACTCAAGGTGACCATGAAGACTATGAAGGCTGTTCCAGGTGGAGCCCAAAGCTTCCTTTCAGCCTTTGGCACTAGTGTTTTGGGCAATGCTCTCCGTCTCCCCCCTCGCACACACCTCTTGCTTAAGCCAAGCTAAAGGGTTTCTTTCTCTTCTCCTTTTTTCTACTTCTACCCTATTTTTAAATGCCATAAAATCTGTTGTCTCTAATCTTGACAGGTAGGCCAAGACTGAGCAAGGGTACTTTCTAAGTTAGTGTATAATAGCAAAGAAGTAGCCAGACCCAGCAGCTTTGGGGGTGGGGTCTGACGCTGCAAGGGAGAAAAAGCAAAAAAATCTTCAGCTAACCCAAACTGCCCAGAAAACCAGTGTCAGAAGGCTGAAGGGAGGTCTGGCTGTACCTCAGCTTTCTACTTCTCCTTGTGTGGCCTATGAAGGTAGATGGGAGGAGTTGGGGGGGGCGGTAAACCATGAAGGGAAAGATGATAGTCAGTCGTAGTAGAATTGTTTTAATAAGATCCCAGCCCGTCTAATAATCCAGCACACAGAAGTAGAAAAACAAAACTGAACTTCAACTAATATCCATAGGTGCTGCGGATTAACTGAGTCAATACAGGGCAACTATATAGATAAGATAACACTTGTGTATATTTGCTTAGCACATGCGGACAATGGAGGGAGGGAGTTTACTCATTAACATGTTGGGATGGGGGGGGGTATTCACAGAACATCCAGGGGATGACAGGAACTCCCATGGTGGCTGCTAGTCCGGAGAGGCACGACGGTGGCCTGCAGGCTAACCCCGTGGAGGTGCAAAGTTACCAGCCGCCCTGGAAGGTTCTCAGTGACTTCGCCTTGCAAAGTGACATAGATCAGCCCGCTTTTCAGCAACTGGTAAGTGTCAGCTCTCCAACCAGAGGAGGCCAAACAGAAGGGAGGTTCTGTTTTAACTGTCAAGCACAGACAGATCCGCGGGGGGGGGGGAGGGTGCTCCCCATGCCAATACTGGGGAGAAAGCATGGATAAGTGGTGACGAAGAGGAGGGAGGCAGAAGCAAGGAAAATAGATTTCTCCGTGAATCTTTGTTGGAAAATGGAAGAGCAAAATTTAACTATGTAGGCTGATTTTTCTACAAAAGAGGCGTGTCTCCTGGGATGAACTTCACAGTGCCTAAGTAGCTAAGTGTGCAGAGGCACAAATGGTGGCAATGTCACACATCTTAGCTTGTTATAAAATGCAAGGACTTCAGAGATCATCTTGGCATTTGGATCAACCATCAGTAAGTTTATTACTTTACCTGTACCTGGTGAATGGCTCTCGTAGACATGGTTGTAATACACATTCAGTATAATACCATACAGTGTGGTTTTTCACAAGCAGCAGGCAGCTCTCTGAACACAGTTGTCATATGTGTCAATAAGGAGGATGGTTATTTATTAAAAATAGTTTGATGTTTATTGTTGCTGGGATTTTTTAAAGTATATATTAACCTAAAGCATAGGCCTTTTAAAAGTTTTTTTAATAAATAAATTTTGATATGACACAGTTACAAACCATGTAGCATGTATACCAAAAAGAATATGAGAACTCTCAATCAGAGGCAATGTATATTTAATTTGTGAAAACATGTCTTATCACTAAAGTGTCCAGGACATCCATCCATAGAATAGGATTAATTCATTTTTGCCTGTAAAAGGTTAAGATAAACAGAAGTTTTAAAGGTATAACCTTTTTGATACGGTACATATAATTAGTTTTTCCCCTTAAAGTATAATTAGCCTCATAGATCCTGTTTTATTAAACACAAAGCTGTGTCCTAAAGTCACTCCTTTCTTTAGAAACAAAGCTAATGCAACAGTTGAAAATATTTTTTTAAAACCCTTGCCTGTGCCCTGAGGGCATTTGCTTTCTCATGTCAACAGTTATAAGGGTGATTGGCCAGAGGCAAGTGGTTAAAAGGGCTTGGTTCCAGGCTCTGTGTGTAAATGGGCCACTCTAGTGAGCAGGCATATTTGAGAAGTCCCTTGACCTCTCAAGGGGAAAGTTTAATAGAGCAGAAAAAGGAGATAGATTTTGGAACTAGAGGGAAAATTTTATTTTAAATAAAATAAGCTATCCATATGGGTAGAATTTGAATAATAGAAAGAAGTTGAGAGGCTTCACAACAGCCAAGCCTTGGTGGTGCCTTCTGAAACTTGAGTGTCAGGTGAGAGCAGTGAAATGGAAGGTATGGTTTTGGCTGTTGGAGTTACCCAGTAATACAGTGCCACATATTTATGATGTGATGCTGTGCAGTGTGCGGGTCTCCTCATGGGAAGGGGAACAGGAGGCAATGAGATCACGCTGTGAGCCCTCTAAAGAGTTAACCATTGTTCCAGGGAGCCTCCATTGAATCTCCAGCCACTCTAGGCTTCAGAATAAAGGCTTTGAAGCCTAGAGAACTTTCCCACTCCCAGGGCTACATGTAGCCAGCAGGGTAATTTTATTTTGAGCCTTCATGGGAGAGTTGTGATGCCACTTTACAGTGGGAAACACATTTGCTCTTAAATAATTTAATATGACATAATGTTGGGAATTCAGCTTGAGTTAAAAGAGAGATGTTTAGAAAGATCAAGACAGCGAGAGGATCTCTTTTCCAGGGCTTATCATAGGCTTCCTTCAAGCCTGTTAAAATTCTGAGAGAGGCATGTCTATACCTGTCCATTTACAGGAACTTGGACATGCATACATACAAAATATGATAGTTTTGTATTTCTACGGGCACCATTGAAACCTCCTTTGTTTACTTCTCAACCTTCCATGCAGGTCAATTTTTCAGAAGGAGGACCAGGCTCTAATTCCACTGGCAGCGAAGTGGCATCGATGTCCTCTCAGCTCCCAGATACACCCAACAGCATGGTAGCCAGTCCTATTGAGGCATGAGGAACATTCATTCAGATGTATTTTTTTTTTCCCTGTTGGAGAAAGTGGGAAATTATGTTGAACTCCAATATAAAAGTATTTAACGACCCAGTCAATGAAAACTGAATCAAGAAATGAATGCTCCATGAAGTGCACGAAGTCTGTTTTAATGACAAGGTGATATGGTAGCAACACTGTGAAGACAATCATGGGATTTTACTAGAATTAAAAACAAACAAAACCCCAAGCCCAACATATGCTATTCAATGACCTTAGGAGTACTGAAAAAGAAAAAGGAAAAAAAAAAAAAGACGTTTTTAAAACGTAGAGGATTTATATTCAAGGATCTCAAAAAAAAAAAAAAAGCGCATTTTCATTTCACCGCACATCTAGAGGAAAAGCAGAAATAGAAAAATTTTCTAGTCCATCCTCTTCTGAATGGTGCTGTTTCTATACTGGTCATTGCCTTGCCAAGTAGGAGCTCCAGGATAGAGTGGAAGAAGCCGGCCTCTGGCTGAAAGATTCACCCTTTCAGGAAGGCGGAGCTGCATTGGTTTGCTATGTTTTTAGTTGACTTTGACAAGGGGTTAATTGAAATTCTGGGTCTCCTTAGCATGCCCTGCAGCTGGTTTCTCTTTTACTTTTGCCTCTTCTCCCATTTCCCCCCTTTCCTTTTCTTTATTTCTCTCTACTTTTTTTTTGAGATCCATCCTCTATCAAGAAGTCTGAAGCGACTTTAAAGGTTTTTGGATTCAGATTTAAAAACCAACTTATAAAGCATACAACAAGGTTACCTCTATTTTGCCACAAGCGTCTCGGATTGTGTTTGACTAGTGTCTGTCCAAGAACTTTTCCCCCAAAGATGTGTACAGTTATTGGTTAAAATGACTGTTTTCGCTCTTTCTGGAAATAAAGAGGAAAAAAAGGAAACTTTTTTGTTTGCTCTTGCATTGCAAAAATTATAAAGTAATTTATTATTTATTGTCAGGAGACTTGCCACTTTTCATGTCATTTGACATTTTTTTTTGTTTGCTGAAGTAAAAAAAAAGATAAAGGTTGTACTGTGGTCTTTGAATTATGTCTAATTTTATGTGTTTTGTCTTTTTTTTTCTTAAATATTATGTGAAATCAAAGCGCCATATGTAGAATTATATCTTCAGGACTATTTCACTAATAAATATTTGGCATAGATAAATAAATAAATGCAACGATTCAGGGTCCCTCTTTTATATGTTTATTAGCAAGCCTTTACCTGTTCTGAAATTAAGGATTGCATGTTAATTGGGGTAAAATGACATGCAGTGTAGTAGGTGTGATATTGTATTGCAAGTAATTCAGGTCGGGTTTGCAAGTTTCGATTTCAATGGTTGGATCAAAGTTGGTTGGAAGAAGCCCTTTAGCTGTGATAATGTTACCGGTTTTTTGAAAACGAGATGCTGGTCTCTCTTTTGCTCCCCTCCTTTCCCTCCTTCTGTCTTTTCTCTCTACCCCTACCCCTGCACCTATCCCAAAAGGAAGAATCTCTTTGAGAATGGGTTCTGATTGGGATCACTCTTATTTTCTAAGCGTCAGTCACAGCTTCGGAGCTTTAAGATTACCCACATTTCAAACACAAACTCTTGCTGAAGAGGCTTTCTGCCTAACCAGTGAAGGATGGCCACTGCAGACTAGAGGTGGCTGACTGAGACATGGCGCTTTACTCGCGCAGAAGGTAGGAAAGACTGAGAGAGAAACGGCTTTTCTCAGCATTTCTCAGAACTGTAGGTGTCTGCGTTTTCTTACCTCTTCCCCTGCCCCACCCCCGCCACCCCTCCCCTCCCGTCTCTAATTTCAAACCCCAGAGAAGAGAAGCTGGCTTGGGAGAGATGCGGAAAGCCTGCTGTTTGGGAACCGCCTAGGTTTATAGGCAGTGGCCGCGCTCTGTACTTTGCAGGCTCCCGAAGGAAGGGCTGTGGTAGTCGGAGGGGACTTGTACTCTGGATCAGACCCTGCCAACCACGCCGTGTTTAGCAAAGGTTCACCTGCAAGCGACAGAACGCAGGGATGCACACAATCCCCAGGCTCAAACTGGGCTCCTGTTTGGCGGGTTTAGGATCAGGACCAGCCCGTTCTCTCCTTCCCCCTCTCCCCGCGCCCATTCCCCATGTCAGGATCTTTCTTTGACTCTGGAAACTAGATTCGTCTGTATGCGCCAGTGTAATGCCATTTTCAGTGTCTGACAACTTAATAAATACGGAAAGCTAAGTACCCTAACCGTGTGTAGTGTGGAGCATTAGCCCTGACTCACCAGGGCAGAGGCCGGAGGCTAGGCTGGAGACCCCCAAGAGGCCCGAAACCCGCAGCTCCTGAGTCTGCTCTCACCCTCTCCAAACCTGCGCAAGTCGGGAAGCAAGCGAGCCTCAATTAGGCTTTTGTTTGGCATCGTTCTACATAACGGGTTAATTACAGGCTGTACCACGAAGGCAGAAAAAAAACAAACTTTGCATTGGAAATGTTACAGTGCATTAGACATGCCCTTGATTAGTTTGATTGTTGTGTCTAATTCTTGACAGAGGGGTAATAATTTGGCGGGCGGTAATAATGGCTTGTAGTTGTTTGCTGGGAAAAACAAGAGTTCTGTCTTATCTCCTACGGATCTTCCATGAAAGAAAGCCTCTCCCCTCTCTTTCCTTTCCTTTTTTCTCCTGTCTCTGTCTCTAATCTCCCATTACCAGACTTGATTCTCTTAGTTTCCCGGCTGTTCTAACAGTTCATCTGATTTTTGATTTTCCCTTTTCTCACCACGTACCTAGAAAAGCTACCAAATAAGCGTGCTCAAGGGTAGCAGGTATAACATGAATTTTAAGTTAAGCTTGCGAAGTTACTTGGTTATGCAAGTCCAGTGTGAGGCCACTGGAGTCTCTTTCCCCACCAATGGCCTCTGGTGGACTCACTTGCCTTAGGACAGACACAGGAAGGACAACAACAATTTTATTTAAAATTTTCATGCAATGGAGGGGCTGGAGCAAGACACATAGATCTGTTTATCTTCCATTTGGGCACTGATTTCTGAGATTAAAGGTGTGTTTGTTTGTGTGTTTGTGTGTGTTTTGATGTTCACTTATGTAAATGTCAGTCTGTTCTGAAATCTGCAGCTTGAACTTCAGTAATTTAGTGGAGAGTGATGAATCATTTTGATTCCAATTGTTAGATTCAAGGTGTTTGATGTCAGATGGGGAGGGCTTCGAATGGATTGATAGGTTGAATTCTCTTATTATTGATGAGAAAGGTTCCCCTCCTAGCCTTTTAAGAATGTGCTCTAAAGTGAGTAGTTGGCATGTCTTCTTGTTTGCAAATCGCCCCTGTTCCCTCTCTCCCTTCCTCTGCACACCTCTGGACCCGGTTTCCAGCTCTTTTCCTCTAATCAAACTCCTCTTTATTTGCCATTGTCTGTGTTCTCCCACTCTCTTGTGTTACTCTGAGTCCTTCATTCTGGATATTATGACTCATTTCCTGTAGCTTTGAAAGCTACTATTTGATGCGATTGAAAACATCTAGGATGCTCCCCTTAAATCAGGGGATTCATATCAGATCCTACACTCTCACAGATGAGATTATTACCCCAGACCATTTCTTCAGAACAGAAACCTAGCTAATTTACTGTTCCTCTTCATTCCCCTTTCATCAAAGGGATCAATTTTTCTTAACAATAGAGAGTTTCCTTTTAAGTTAGAATCATATTTGAAGGTTTTCCCCTCCAACGCAATAACACATCTAGTTATTTATCATTCTGCATGCGTGTGTGTGTGTGTGTGTGTGTGTCTCAGTTGCTGATGGACAGCTTTTCTTGATGTTCAATACTCAAGGGCCAACTTCATGATATGCTCTTGCCATTCACCCTATCAGCTTGTTAAACTCTTACTTGTTGACCCTGTTTCTCATCTGTCTTAATCCCTTTGACTACCAGCCAAAAAGACAATGTGTGTTCAAGTTGTTTTAGGAATACATCATCTTTCCTTAGTGCTTCGTACTTATAAACCACAAACAAAACTGATCATTGAAGTACAACTTTTCTGATTCCCATAAGGAACCACTTAGTTTTTGTTTTTGTTTTTGTTTTTCTGAGAAAATGGAGTTTTAAAAAGTTTTTAATTCATTTAACTCCTTCCCTAAACAGTTGTTTATATGACACCCAGCCACTTTGGATTTTCAATCTCATCCCTAACACAAGTAAACTAAGCAGAAAGTGTTTGTTTTCTTATTTGTAAAGTTCAGTTCAGTTAACTTTTGTCAAGAAGATTTATAATCCAAATTAGGCTTGAATTCTATTGATTGAACTTTCCCCCTCTGCTAACTAACAATTAAAGATTATGTCGCAACAAAGCAAGTCAGATTTTCTTTGGACATGTTGGAAGGCCAACTATTTCTGTGCCTTAAAAAAAAAAAAAAGTTACTTTAGAAAATGGCTAAAGACCTTCAGTTCTTGTTATGGATTTGTAATAAAAGTGGTGCAATGTGCACAGTGTGGCTTGGTGTTTCCAAACTAAAAGAACTTAATTCAAGGCTCTGGCAGAGAATCTGGTTCCCCTGTCTTTCCTGATTGTTGTTTTCTTGATAACCAGGCCACTGAATGGCTGTTTGAGCCCAGGCGCCACAAACATAAACTTCACAGCTTACAATGTCCCAAGCATGATGGAGGGTCTCTCCACACCTCTCCAGAGACTTCTGAAGTGTAGACAGAGAAGCTGGTTCACAGGCGTTAGAGGTGGGGGGAGGGGTGGTTGTTGTGAGCATTGTTACAAATACATCCTTTAATTTTAGGATGCTTCTGCTTCAGACATTGGCTCCTAGAAGTCACTTTCTGATCGTTCAAAAGCACAGGCTCTTCTCAGAACACCATTTAAGACTCCTTGTTTCTCCAAAGGAGAAAAAAAATAAATAAAAAGGCAAAATAATTCTGTTTTTACCTCTGCAGAGAGAGAGAGAGAGAGAGAGAGAGAGAGAGAGACATACATGATTTATAAAAAGAACACACTTTTTTTTTTCCAGAAAGGGGACACCCACTTTTGTGAGACAGATGTGGGTAGTGACTGCTTTTGATCAGGCAGAGTGAGAAAACACACTTAAACCCCTTTTAGTAGACTCTGGTGGGAGATTTCGCTTAGCTAGAGTGTTGTCTATTTCTCGACTGGGATGCTTTCCCATCTTATTGATCAAAAACTTCGCTGTCATTTTTTGAGGGATGTAATTTGTGGAATTGACTGGGTTGGCTACTTATTTCTGAATGCAGTTCTAGTGGTCTTCCCACGGGTGTGTTTCCTGTGTGCTGGGGGACCGGCCAGTTGTGAGGAGTGCTGGGAAAGAGGGGTGGTCTAACCAGCCCCACCACTCCCGCGGGCAAGTCGGCCCTTGATCCCTTAAAGGAGCGACAATTGTCGTAGCCCAGAAGAGGAAAAGGGGGTGTTTCTGGGCCGTTCTCTTTCAGGAGTTGATCAGGTTGGCAGATCTGGAGGACTAATCCAAACAAGGCGCTTGACTTGTGAGGTCGCGAGTCTAGACAGGGCTGGTGGCTAGGCGGCTCCTTATCTTTCCCTGGGATCAGCCGAAGAGGCGCTCCCCGGCCCATTGCACTCGGCTCCCGGAGCCCGGAGCCACCGCGCTGCGCAGACCGCACAGCAAACACAGCACCTGAGGCTTTACAGCTTGCTTTATTGTTTAATGGAGAATGTTGCAAAACAGTCATTTGTCTTTGTGGCCCGCGCCCGGGCTGCTTTGTGCCATCGGTGCTGGGTGGGGGTGTCCTTCAGCTTTGGGCTGAGAGGGTCCCCACACCGGGCAGCCATGCCACGTGCGCGTGAGTGCGCACGGCCTCTCTGCTGTCTGGTCAGAGCCTTGGGGAAACACAACCTCCGCCTTTCCCTTGTTTTTGAACACCCAGGAGGCGGAGGATCCGAGGGACTGTAGGAGAAAGCGGTGGGAGAATCCAGCATCTCTGAGAGCTGCCTGGAAATGACTATTCTGTGCTGCCGCCATTTATGGTTTGCGGGGTCAGTGGGCGCTGACTCAAGGGCAATCAATAAAAACATTTAGTTCAATAATAAGCTGCTCTTCTTTCCTTTCAAAATGTACCCAGAAGAATGCGTCATCATCTTGGACAGGGTGTCCCTGCTTGGCCGATGCCCTTTCTCCACAGCTAGCACAAATAAGTGTCGTGACTTGTGGATGTTCTCGTGACCACTTCACTGGGCAAACCGTGGAAACCTTGATCTTCGCTCACTGGCTTCCACCAGAAAGGCTGGTGCTGCCATGTGCTTGGGAACAAGAGAACCCAAGGGTTAGGTCTTAACAATGCTTTGTAGGGGCAACAAACAACAGTCTTGGGGATTAGTAAACATTCGTGGCTCCTGTTTCAAATTAATTGAACGCGATTAAGCTAATTATAATTTTGCCCATTCCCTCTGGATTTGTTTTCTTGTTTCAAAAAAGTAGAAAGGGTTCTAGTTGCCTCTTTTTATTTCCCATTCTTTGTAAGGAAGGGGGTTGGGAAGAGGACAAAAAGGAGACAGCAAGGCTGAGAAATTGGATTGAAGAAGGAAGCAAGAGAATGAGGGGTTGGGAGGAGGGGAGAAAGAAGAAGGAGAGGGAAACAGGACAGGAGGAAAGAGGAGAGGAGAGCAGAGAGAGAGAGAGAGAGAGAGAGAGAGAGAGAGAGAGAGATATTGATTCTGTACACCAACCATACATGTAGGTGAGAGTAATTGAATTTCTGGATTATTGTTAGAGGGAATGTTGAGACAAACACCACCCTTCCCTGTTTTGG